AAGGACCCTTTTCATCGAATCCGTTCCGACTAAAGTGGGAGAGACTGGCACCCGCTAGCCACCTTATGCACCAAGTGCATGTCAATCGGTGGAACCTGTCTCACGTAAGAGTACGTGTAAGGTCGGTCCGGGCCGCTTCATCCCACAATACCGTCGAAACAAGATTGGACTAGTAACGGTAAGCATATTGAACAACATCAACGCCCACAACTACTTTGTGTTCTACTCGTGCAAAGAATCTACGCAGTAGACCTAGCTCATGATGCCACTGTTGGGGAACGTAGCAGAAATTCAAAATTTTCCTACGTGTCACCAAGATCTATCTATGGAGAGACCAGCAACGAGTAGAAAGAGAGTGCATCTACATACCCTTGTAGATCGCTAAGCGGAAGCGTTCAAGTGAACGGGGTTGATGGAGTCGTACTCGTCGTGATTCAAATCACCGATGATCAAGTGCCGAACGCACGACACCTCCGCGTTCAACACACGTACAGCCCGGTGACGTCTCCCACGCCTTGATCCAGCAAGGAGAGAGGGAGAGGTTGAGGAAGACTCCATCCAGCAGCAGCACAACGGCATGGTGGTGGTGGAGGAGCGTGGCAATCCCGCAGGGCTTCGCCAAGCACCATGGGAGAGGAGGAGGAGGAGAGGCAGGGCTGCACCAAGAGGGAGAATTTCTCATGTGTATGGCAGCCCCAAACCTCATCTATATATAGGGGGAAGGGGGGGCTGCGCCCCCTTTAGGGTTTCCCACCCCCAAGGGGTGCGGCCAGCCCTAGATGGCAAAGGGGAGGCGGCCAAGGGGGGAGAGGAGAGGGAGGCGCACCAATATGGGCCTTAAGGCCCATCTGGACTAGGGTTTGCCCCCTCCCACTCTCCCTTGCGCCTTGGCCCCCTTGTGGGGGCGCACCAGCCCTCCTAGGGGCTGGTCCCCTCCCACACTTGGCCCATGCAACCTTCTGGGGCAGGTGGCCCCACTTGGTGGACCCCCGGGACCCTCCCGGTGGTCCCGGTACAATACCGATATCGCCCGAAACTTTTCCGGTGACCAAAACAGGACTTCCCATATATAAATCTTTACCTCCGGACCATTCCGAAACTCCTCGTGACGTCCGGGATCTCATCCGGGACTCCGAACAACATTCGGTAACCACATACAAGCTTCCTTTATAACCCTAGCGTCATCGAACCTTAAGTGTGTAGACCCTACGGGTTCGGGAGACATGCAGACATGATCGAGACGTTCTCCGGTCAATAACCAACAACGGGATCTGGATACCCATGTTGGCTCCCACATGTTCCACGATGATCTCATCGTATGAACCACGATGTCAAGGACTTAATCAATCCCGTATTCAATTCCCTTTGTCTATCGGTATGTTACTTGCCCGAGATTCGATCGTCGGTATCCAATACCTTGTTCAATCTCGTTACCGGCAAGTCACTTTAATCGTTCCGTAACACATCATCTGGTGATCAACTCCTTGGTCACATTGCGCATATGATGATGTCCTACCGAGTGGGCCCAGAGATACCTCTCCGTTTACACGGAGTGACAAATCCCAGTCTCGATCCGCATAAAACAATAGATACTTTCGGAGATACCTGTAGTGCACCTTTATAGTCACCCAGTTACGTTGTGACGTTTGATACACCCAAAGCACTCCTACGGTATCCAGGAGTTACACGCTCTCATGGTCGAAGGAAGAGATACTTGACATTGGCAAAGCTCTAGCAAATGAACTACACGATCTTTGTGCTAGGCTTAGGATTGGGTCTTGTCCATCACATCATTCTCCTAATGATGTGATCCCGTTATCAACGACATCCAATGTCCATAGCCAGGAAACCATGACTATCTGTTGATCACAACGAGCTAGTCAAGTAGAGGCTCACTAGGGACATATTGTGGTCTATGTATTCACACGTGTATTACGATTTCCGGATAATACAGTTATAGAATGAATAAAAGACAATTATCATGAACAAGGAAATATAATAATAACACTTTTATTATTGCCTCTAGGGCATATTTCCAACACAGGGAGGAGGACTAGACAACCCATTTACAGAAGAGGAGGTCTGGGCTGCGATCAAGGCCTAGCCAGCTGAGAAATCGCCAGGGCCGGACGGTTACTGTGGAATGTTCTTCAGATCATGTTGGAGCATTATAAAGGAAGATATCATGCAAGCTTTCCACCAATTCTACCACCTGGCCGGACAGAATTTTGGGGCCCTGAACTCTGCGATCGTCGTGCTCATCCCCAAGAAAGACGGAGCTGACTGCATTAGTGATTTTAGACCGATCAGCCTGATCCACTCAATAGAGAAGCTGATTTCCAAGGTGCTCTCAATCCGTCTCGCAGCAGTAGTGCAGTCCATCATCTCGCCATCCCAGACGGCCTTCCTGAAGACTAGATGTCTGCACGACAGCTTTGTCTACGTCGAAAATTGCGTCAAGTGTCTGCACCATAGGAAGACACCGACGGTTCTCCTCAAGCTTGATATCTCAAGGGCATTCTATAATGTATCCTAGGAATATATCCTCGAGCTGTTGATGACGCTAGGGTTTAGTGCTCGCTGGAGGGATTAAATCACGCTGCTGCTCGCCACCTCATCCTCGGCCTTCCTGCTTAACGGATCACCCGCCGCGCAAGTTATTCACCACCGAGGACTGCGACAGGGCGACCCTCTATCCCCTCTCCTCTTCATCATCGTGATCGACCCCATCCACCAACTACTTCAAGCCGCAGAGGACGCGCTCGAGATCATGCTGGTGCCAGGGAGAGAGATCAAGCTTAGGGTGAGCCTATACGCTCACGATGCAATAATCTTCGCAAACCCCGACAAGGAGGAAATCGACCACCTGATGTGCATCCTACAAAGCTTCGGTGACGCCTCGGGCCTGCGGATAAACCTTGCCAAGTCCACGGCTACGTCGATCCAATGCAACAACATCAACCTGGGTTTAGTTCTTCAAGCTTTCCACTTTCCGATAAGATACGTAGGTCTACCCCTCACCACGGGCCGGCTACACCTAGTTCACCTGCAATTCATCCTCGATCGCGTCCGTGCCCAGCTCGCGGGCTGGAAGGGACTAATGCTCTCCATTGCGGGCAGGCGCGTCCTGGTTCGCTGCGTCCTCTCTGCCCTACCCACCTTTGCCCTTACTGCGCTTCGAGTACCCAAGAAGCTCATGAAGGAAATTGACAAATGCAGATGACGCTTTCTGTGGGGAAAGGATCAAGAGCTCTCTGGCGGCAGCTTCAAGGTCAACTAGGAACGGGTCTGCTCCCCGATCGAGCATTGTGGGCTCGGCGTACTGAACCTGTCAAAGTTCAGTCGCACTCTCTGTCTGCAATGGCTCCGGCACAGCTGGAAAAACACCTCTCGGCCCTGGGTGGGAACGGAGCCCCCGTGCGATGCCTCGGACCAGGCCCTCTTCAATGCCGCGATGACGGTGACTATTGGCAACGGCAAGACGGCGAGCTTCTGGCATAGCTCATGGCTAGAGGCGGTGTCGCTGAAGTTCTACTTCCCAACCCTCTTCAAGCATTCAAGACGCAAGGGCAGAACAGTGGCTCAAGCCATAGCTGGCGATTGATGGATCTCGGACTTGGCACATGGCAACACCAGTGACCTGGTCAGCGAGGTTCTAAACCTGCATCCTCTTATTCAACACCAGCAACTCACCCTGCAAGATGAAGACCAGGACCAGATTCGCTAGAATTTTGAGGGATCAGGCCAGTACAACTCCCACTCTGCTTACACCTTGTAGTTCCTCGGATCGACGATGGGCATGTACAAGGACCTGGTCTGGGTTACTTGGGCTCCGGCGAAGCTCAAGCTTTTTGCATGGCTCCTCCACTAAAACAGACTGTGGTGCAACGACCGTCTTCAACGTAGGGCTGGACCAACGACTACTTCTGCCAACTCTGCCTTAGAAACCTTGAGAGCTCTGCAACTCTGCCTTAGAAACCTTGAGAGCTCTGCGCACTTATTCTGGGAATGCACTTTCAGGAGGATGATCTGGGCTGAGCTATCCTCTTGGCAGTACTGAGAGGGTTTGAATCATGCTCGCCAAATCAACGACAACAGCTCTCTGGAGAAGGTGGCTAACATGGTTTCAACGTAGGGCTGGACCAACGACTACTTCTGCCAACTCTGCCTTAGAAACCTTGAGAGCTCTGCGCACTTATTCTGGGAATGCACTTTCAGGAGGACGATCGGGGCTGAGCTATCCTCATGGCAGCACTGTCAGAGTTTGAATCATGCTCGCCAAATCAACGACAACAGCTCTCTGGAGAAGGTGGCTAACATGGTCTCCACTGCGTTTTCAGGCGGGACATCTCTTAGCCCCTCCCTTTTCTTATCTCCTTGATCCCAGGATCACCACATTTGTCACTATTACCATTGCTCCCTGCTTAAATGAGTGAAACTCCAGTCTTGGCTGGCACTTCCAAAAAAAGAAAGATAATTTCCTACATGACGTTCGTATGCGGCATTTCTTTTCTTTGACTAATTTACTTGCTGGTGATTACATAAAGAAACGGTGAGACATTTAGTTTGCTCATGAGCTAATGTTCACTTTGCTAACACAGTTGCTGAACCATGTGCTTAACCAGCCTCTAGTAGGCAAAGAGTGCGCCACCTTGTCGCCCCGCCGAATCATCCCAAGGTGAAGCCGTGAAGGAAGAAACGCTCGGCGAAGGAAGATGAAATGGGGAAAGCGCGTGCTCCAGTACCGGACCCAGCACTCGCGACGGGCGTCCAAGCCTAATCACGAAGCTTAAATCGCATCCAAGCTTAACCACGAAGCAGCAGAGGACTACAACAAAGCTAACATCCTAGTACACACCGGAGGGGGAACACGATGCCTAAATCTACAAAGTGGTTTCTCAAACACACTGAGCAACCACGCACGTGTCAGACCACACTACGTAAAACACGAAAGCAAAGCTACATGGAAGACTACATCCATCCGCACGGAGACGACGAGCCTAGCAGGCGGTGCTCATCTGCAGGCGACGAGCCAGGTGAACGAGGTGCCACGTCAGGGCCATCAGGGACAGCACGTTGCACAGGGACGAGTAGCTGTTGAGCTGCTTCAGCCGCTTGTTCAGCCTCACCACCTTGCTCTTGGCCATCTCCGCGTCGGGCGCCGTCACCGAGGTCGTCGTCGTCGTGGTCTTCGCCGCCCTGACGGTGGCGGTTCCCGTCGTGCCGTCCACCGGGCTGCGGGCTCCTGCTGCCGTGGGGGTGGCTGTGGTGGTCGTGGCGGCCGTGGCCACGGTGACGGCCGGCGGGTCGATGATGTCCGCCATGTCCCTTCCTCTGCCTTCTTCCTTCTCCACTTTCATCCTCTCGAACATCACCTGCGCAGAAGACGAGTAAATCTGCATTAGAGAGAATGATTTGCAACGAACGACGGGATCTAGTAACACAAAGAAATAGTACTACCTTGGTGGCTTTTGGCTCGAGAAGCAGCATGTTGGCGAGGACCAGTCCCAGCGCGCTGAGCAAGTTGAAGCTCTGGGCGCGCGCCGCGAAGGAACTACGCTCGCGGCCGAGCAGGTGCGCCGCGAGGGCCAGGCCGACGCAGTAGGCCATGGCGCGGAAGTACACTGGGTACAGCTTGCTCTGCACCACGCCGAGCTGCTGCCGGGGCAGCGAGGCAGCGAGGACATGGCTCGATACGAACGTCACCCACACGCACGCGCCGTAGGCCGTGGCGAACCCCAGCAGGTGCATCACGGCCGTCGCGGTGCGCGCGGCCTCCATGGGCGCGCCGAGCAGGTATGAGGCGGCGTCGGACGCCACCTCACGGGCCCGCCTAGCGATGTCGGTCAGGTTCTTGGTCACCTCGCCGGCCTTCGCCTTGGCGACCTCCTCGGCCCGCGCCACCTTCTCGGCCGCGCTCTCAGCGGCATCCTCAGCGTAATCCTCTGCACGCTCTGCAATGTCAGAGACCTTGTCTTTGGCGTTCTTTGCAGCTTCAGAGACCTTGCCCTTGGCACTGGTCACTGTCTCGGCTGCTCGGTCCTTCACGTGCGATGCCTTCTCCTTGGCTTCACCGGCGGCTTCTGAAACCTTGTCTTTGGCATTCGTCACTGTTTCAGCTGCTTTGTCCTTCACGTCTGCTGCCTTCTCCTTGGCTCCACCGGCTGCTTCAGAGACCTTGTCCTTGGCACTCCTCACGGTTCCAGCCGCTCCATCCTTGATGTGTGCTGCCTTCTCCTTGGCTCCACCGGCTGCTTCGGAGACCTTGTCCTTGGCACTCGTCGCAGCGCCCTTCGCCTCTGGTGCAGCGTCGAACACCTTGTCCTCCGCTTTGTCCTTGGCACCAGAGAGCGTCTCCCCGGCAGCTGTCACCGTGTCCTCCGCGCCATCTTTGACGCGGGAGACCCCGTCTCTCGCGCCCTCCTCCAACCCCTTGGCGGCGCCGCAGAGCTTGTCCTTGCAGCGCTTCACCGCGCCGAACACCTTGCCCGTGGCGCTCTCCTTGGCATTGGACAGCTTCTCCTTGCCATCCTCCGCCGCGCCAGCCACCTTGTCCGCCGCGTTGGAAACGGCTCCCCTGGCCTCATCCGACACCGTTTCTTTCGCCTCAAGGCCGTCGAGAGCGTGTGGGGGCAAGACGTGCGTCTCTTTGGCGTCGCCGTGGCCCGGGGTGAGCGGGAGCTCGCGCTCGTACTCGACGATGACGACGCGGCGGCCCTCCCGGAGGACATGCTCACCGTGCTGCTGGGCCGGCGGGGTAGGCGCTGGCGACCAAACGCCGGCCGCGGCCAGGGTGGAGAGGACGAGGCATACGGCTACAACGTTTATCATGATGGGATATCGCATTGGGAGTGAGTGTAGGCTGAGGCTGAGCTAAGAAGGTTTGGACAAGCAGTTTCTTGCCACTGTCGGGCCGCTTAAATCCGCGGGCGGCGGCGGACCTCGGATGGTTGTAGAAGGAGGAAGACGGGGCGAAGTTAGAACACGTGGAGAGCTCGTAGTAGAGGTGGCGGCGCGCGCGGTGCCGCGGCGACACGCGTTAACTGTACGTGTCACGGTGTTGCGGCGCCTTGGGAGTCGCGCGCGGGCGTCGGCCGGTGGAGCACCGGCCAGAGCATAACGTTGCTGGTCGAGTTCAACAGTCAAACGCACTGGTACCGCTCGACACGGCCGATTGCATGTGTCATGTGTGGTCCTTATTTGCTTGAATCGACTAAAACTCGATGACAAACGATGCAAGTTAAGCTTTAAGAGCATATCTAATACCTGTCTTATTTTGAGCACGAAGATAGAATGTTGTACTCGACCGTGGCAACAACTTATAATAATAATTTACAAACAACGACACATCATGACAACAAAGCATACTCATTCGTGGGCTAGCTATTGTGGTGCAGCGGCCTAGCATGAATGCACCATAAGGTTCTTTTAGTTTTAGGGCCCTGAAATTTATGTACATATAATATATTTAATATGTGAATAAATAATATATAAGGCCGATTTTTCAGATTATATGCGGGTACATGGGTACACGGTATAGGTTATACTAATCATACTCATACCCACTACACCCGATGGCTATGAAAATTTTCTATTCATGTATTTATGGGTATATTTTTTGACCTATACGCTTGCCCTAATAGGGGTTTTACCCGTATGATACGCGGGTAATGGATACCCATTGACATTCCTAATAGAGCACCCAAATCAACATTTAAAAAAAAACATTTGAACTACTTCAACCATATTTCATGTTCAACTATGTTTGAAACATGGAATATGTTTTATTTAAAAAAAACATATTTCATGTTTCAAACATAGCTGAAATACGGCGTGCCACGTAAACTACGACAAGCAAACTACGAACACTACAGCTTATTTACATTGATATCATCAGACCCATCACTCTCCATGTCGGAATCGACGTTGATCGCATCGGAGGCTCCTACATTCTTATTACTAAACAGTATAATTCAGCTAGCTAGGAGCCCCCACGGCGCTTCGAGTCTTTTAGCTATCGGATCACATTCACCTACGCGCAGGATTGACTGGTCGTCGGTTTACGCTAATTAATTCCTATTCGTTTGCTCGTAGCACCTTTTTCGGAGCCGCTGCTCCGCGGATTGAGTTACAATTTGTGTCCATAATCGGGCGTAAGGTCGAAGGCCCACGAGGTGCAGTCGAACACGCAAAGCAGGAGCCTGATTCGTTCTCGCCAATTCTATCCCTGTTCCATGTTCCTGGGCGTTGCGCCGCCGCCATCCTCCTTGTGCCTCGGCGGTGCCATCTACTGGCCCTCTACTCTTCCTTCTACGATGCCCTACCACGTTAAGTGAATCGGTGATGTGCCATATCTTTTTAAATATTTACATTTATGTGAGGCTATGAGTGCCGTGGCGGTGGATGTGTACCTCAAGCCTCAAGAGCGCTCAGATCAATTTGCTGCTGCAGCTGATTCTTGCGGTGTTTTCATTCGCCTCTCAGTAGGGCAATTGGGCTTACTTATCCATCTCTCAACTATGCTTGGGTACAAATTCTTTTTTGTCGTGCTTCGTAGAAAGATTGCACGAGCCAATGGGCATGTCTGAGACTCTGAATCGGGAACAGCTCGAAGGATTGCTATATATTCGCCTGCTGTCATTTCTGCTTCCATTTCTCCCTTACTTGCCTTATTTCAGTTAGGTTTCCCTCCTTTAGTCAGCCTTGCCGTTCACTTATTAAGCAAGTATATCTTCCTGTAAAGTTCATTTGAAGTCATCTGCTTGAAGAAGCGACGCAAAGTTTGAACAGGCAGGTTGTGGCTTTTCTTTGGAGTCCAGCGGTGCTCTACCTCCCACAATGCTATGTCTAAAGTATGCACGACTTATTTACACTCTCATGTTATATTTTCAAATTGTTCGTTTCAAAGTTTGTTGTTGAATGGGAAAATCTTTAGTATCTTTTTTTTGACAACAGCAAATCCATATGTTAGTACTGAAGTATTTCTGGACTATTAGTGATGCCATTATTTCACTACTACGGTCTCTCGAGTAATAATGGACCACCAATTCATATATTGAACAAATATGTGTATTGTCAAGATTTTACCATAATATATCTTTTGGTATTTTCTCAAAATGGACGAGCGCGGCAACGCGTGCCTTAATGATCTAGTTCTTCTTATCATATGATGATGAAGGCCCTGCCTCGACATCGTTCTCATGCTTCGACTGCTCGGCGTCCCTCTTCCAATATAACTTCATCTCGGCTTGCACATATTACAGATGTGCCCTAGCAAATGCCGCCATCGCCATCTCGTCGTTCTCTTTGATGTTGTCCCGCTCCTCGACAACAATGCGGGTAGCCGACTTGATCGGGCACGACTCGATTATCATCGCCGGCCCGATGAGCTCCACATCCGCCCGAGACTCAATCTTCCGGGATACTGAGCCTTGAGCATGGGAGGCCGAGCTGTTGGAAACGTAGCATGCATTTTTTTTAAAACCCTATGCTCACGCAGGATCTATATAGGAGATGCATAACAACGAGAGGGGAAGAGTTTATCTACGTACCCTCCTAGACCGAAAGCCGAAAAGTTTGACAACGCGCATGATGTAGTCAAACTTCTTCTCATTCAGACCGATCAAGCACCGAACGTATGACACCTCCGAGCTCTGCACACGTTCAGCTCGATGACGTCCCTCAAACTCTTGATCCCGCAGAGTGTCGAGGAAGTAGATGAGTTTCGTCAACACGATGGCGTGGTGACGGTGATGGTAAAGTTATCCGCGCAGGGCTTCGCCTAAGAAACGACAACTTTGGTTTCTTGCCAAACCACAGTTCATAAGGCGTCGTCTAAACGGATTTTGATGGTGCCCTATTTAAAGTGAATGCAGCCGTCTCTAAAGCATAACCCCAAAATGTATGCGGTAAATCAGTAACAGATATCATAGATCGCACCAAATCCAATAATGTTTGGTTACGACGTTCGGACCCACCATTACGCTGTGGTGTTCCAGGTGGCGTGAGTTGCGAAACTATTCCACATTGTTTCAAATGAAGACCAAACTCATAACTCAAATATTCTCCTCCATGATCAGATCGTAAAAACTTTATTTTCTTGTTACGATGATTTTTTACTTCACTCTGAAATTCTTTGAACTTTTCAAATGTTTCAGACTTATGCTTCATTAAGTAGATATACTCATATATGCTCAAATCATCTGTGAAGGTAAGAAAATAACGATACCCGTCACGAGCCTCAACACTCATTGGACCGCATACATCTGTATGTATTATTTTCAATAAGTCGATAGCTCATTCTATTGTTTCGGAGAACGAGTCTTAGTCATCTTGCCCATGAGGCATGGTTCGCAAGCACCAAGTGATTCATAATCAAGTGATTCCAAAAACCCATCAGCATGGAGTTTCTTCATGCGCTTTATATCAATATGACCTAAACAGCAGTGCCACAATAAGTTGTACTATCATTATCAACTTTGCATCTTTTGGCTTCAATATTATGAACATGTGTATCTCCACGATCGAGATTCAATAAAAATAGAGCACTCAACAAGGGTGCATGACCATAAAAGATATTACTCATATAAATAGAACAACCATTATTATCTGATTTAAAGGAATAACCGTCTCGCATTAAACAAGATCCAGATATTACGTTCATGCTCAACATTGGCACCAAATAACAATTATTCAGGTCTAAAACTAATCTCGAAGGTAGATATAGAGGTAGAATGCCGACGGTGATCACGTCGACCTTGGAACCATTTCCGACGCGCATCGTCACCTCATCCTTAGCCAATCTTCGTTTAATCCGTAGCCCCTGATTCGAGTTGCAAATATGAGCAACAGAACCAGTATCAAATACCCAGGCGCTACTACAAGCACTAGTAAGGTACACATCGATAACATGTATATCAAATATAGTTTTCACTTTGCCATCCTTCTTATTCGCCAAATACTTGGGACAGTTTCGCTTCCAATGACCAGTCCCTTTGCAGTAGAAGCACTCAGTTTCAGGCTTAGGTCCAGACTTGGGCTTCTTCCCTGGAGTAGCAACTTGCTTGCTATTCTTCTTGTAGTTCTCCTTCTTCCCTTTGCCCTTTTTCTTGAAACTAGTGGTCTTGTTGACCATCAACACTTGATACTCCTTCTTGATTTCTACCTCTGCAGCCTTTAGCATTGCGAAGAGCTCGGGAATCGTTTTCGTCATTCCTTGCATATTATAGTTCATCACGAAGCCTTTATATATTGGTGGCAGTGATTGAAGAACTCTGTCAATGACACTATCATCAAGAAGATTAACTCCCTGCTGAGTCAAGTGGTTATGGTACCCAGACATTCTGAGTATGTGTTCATTGACAGAACTATTCTCCTCCATTTTGCAGCTATAGAACTTGTTGGAGACTTCATATCTCTCAACTCGGGCATTTTCTTAAAATATTAACTTCAACTCTTGGAACATCTCATATGCTCCATGACATTCAAAATGTCTTTGAAGTCCCAATTCTAAGCCATAAAGCATGGCACACTGAACTATCGAGTAGTCATCAGCTTTTTGCCAGACGTTCATAATGTCCGCAGTTGCGTCTACAGCAGGCCTTACACCTAGCGGTGCTTCTAGGACGTAATTCTTCTGTGCAGCAATGAGGATAATCCTCAAGCTAATGACCCAGTCCGTGTAATTGCTACCATCATCTTTCAACTTAGCTTTCTCTAAGAACGCATTAAAATTCAAGGGAACGATAGCACGGGCCATTGATCTACAACAACATAGACATGCAAAAACTATTAGGACTAAGTTCATGATAAATTAAAGTTCAATTAATCATACTACTTAAGAACTC